GGCTCAAAAAATGTCATTTTTTCGTTGAAAACCACCATGCTTAAATTTTGAATGGGACAAAGAATCATGATCACAATATTGCAAAATATCATCAAATGACAGACATAGATTGGTATAGATAAATCGGTGAATCCTTGATATCAAATCAATTCAAATGGAATTCAATCGTTTCTACCAACAAACGAGTTTTTTTTTTTCGTTATCTTGTTATAATCGTTTAATTTATATCTTTTTTTCTCCATCTATCGATGTCTAATTTGTTGGATACACTCCAAATAGAATATCATGGCAATTCATCTATTTTGTTTAATCTTTTATCTAAAAACGACACTTATACTGTAGATTTGCATACATTTTAAAAATTAATCTACCGAATGATCGAATTAATTTCGCTCTGGGGTCAAAACAATTAATCACGAAATCATCATAGGAAATTAATTCAAAATTCATGCGGCGCACTTGTTTTTCACAAAATTCACATTGAACGTAAGCAAAATGAAAGCATGAATATAAGAGTATTGTGTTTCGGCTTATTTAAATTGAAAAGGGTAATCACCTAGAAGGCGGCGTTCGCACTGTGCGCTTTGCTCATAAAACAAAGTCGACCTTCTTTTGACCATTTGTTCAGCTCGCAATTCACTTTAATCGCACTTAGATTGAATATATAAATGTATATGCATGTATTTTATATTATGGTATTAGTCCCTCCACTATGACAATCAAATGTATTGTCTATACTGTCTTTGTTTTATGTACGACTTATATTAAGTTGGATTTGACATCGGAATGTGTCATATAAATTGTTCATTGTGCACACGGACGGGTGTGGTCGTTCTGTGACTGATTTACGTGCAGATATGTTCAATTTTCAACTGTTTCACCTGGCACATGTGTGTGTGTGTGTGCACTCGCGATCGTTTGCGCTTCTCACTCAAAAGATGGAGCAAAACTTGTATCCAGTCGCGCGATTTGTATAATTTTTATGACACATTCTACATGTGACAAAGTGTGACTTGATTCGAAAAAAGGCGAACAACACAATGGCTTTGATTATGTAGGTGATTTGTTTTCAGTCACCTCACGTCATAAAATAAAATGCGGATGAAAACAGCTTTGAAAATGTGCAGGCATAAAGAGCAAAATGCATATGGTTTACATTTCTTGCAGGTGATAAAATGAGAAAAACGAGCACCATCAATTAATTGAAACAAACATGCACATGCATTTCTCAGTAAACACAATTCAAAAGGTTGAGTACAATGTGTGTCCCCAACTCCCCACACAAATGTCGTTTAAAAGTTTATCAATCTATAAAGACATGAAAAACTCGATCGATATATTTATAGCAATTTTATTTCTTCGAAATGAAACCATTGAAAATAAAGATTTCATGTCCAATCGTTTCATGGATTCGAATTTGCCCCATATTATCGCATACACCAAACAAAAACAGAAATATTAATTGTTTTTATGATTCAGTTTTCACGTTGAAACGAATAACACAATATCGATTGTTGTCGCCCAAAAGAAATAATATTGATCATTTCCATGATATTCTGCTCACATAATCAAAACTTAAAAGAGAAGAAGAAGAAGAAGAAGAAGAAAAAAGACAGAAAAATTGCTCACGTTTATTCCGTAACGACAAATGTGAAACCAATCGTTGACCTCAATGACAATATATTTAACTTAGGCGTTTTGAGCGCAATGTTGAGTGCAAACAAACGGAAATTCAAAATAAACAGATCGAGAATACGTTTTCAAGATTTTATTATTCAATATATAAAGCCATGACATACCGTCACAATGGAGTTTTACCAAAAAATGTTCTCTCTCTCTCACTCTCTCTCTCTAATTCATCGATTTGAATTATATTTTTTTTTTTCGACCTGAGTCGATGAACTCATTTTAAATGCTACACATTATTGTAACCGATCTAGTGTAGAAAAAGCGAATAAGTTTATAAAGCGTGGTTCAATCAAAAGGGAGTATAAATGATGCCGATGAAAAAAAAAAAATAGTAGTCATCATTGAAAGATAGAGAAAGAATAGAGATAAACATTCTTTCTGTGGGCTAAATGAAAAATTATTTCCATGTCCAGTGTTGAATAGATGTTTGAACTAAATGTGTGTTTTGAATTCTGTTAAGTTATATAAAAAATTGAATCATTCAGGTAGCTGTTTTGTGTTTGAAATCTGAAACAAAACAAATGAACAAAAACATTTTTTTCACGTTCTTATCAATTCCACGACTTTTCTATAATAACAACTATCCGCGTGAATTCCAATCCAAATAAAACTATTTAAAGATAACTGTAGAGTTCATTTTGTGTGTGCCTTTCAATAAAAATTGAAATTCGACACTACCCAATTCAGAATGTGATGGGTTTGAAATTAAATCATAAAGAATCAGCTTTAAAGCGATTATAAAATGAATATATTTTTGAATTTTGTTTGACATAAAGTAGTGTGTAACGTTTTTGCACAAATGGATTTTACTACTTGCTGTCGGCAAATGAATACATAAAACGGGATTTCGATTCTTGCGTCAATAATAATAAATTGTCCTCCGAACGAATCACACAAGCGTACACCTCTAATTCCAGACCAGAAAAAGAAATAATCAAGAGAGAGAGAGAGAGAGAGAGAGAGAGAGAGAGAGAGACTGTAATGACTACTTGAAATATATCACGGACTGAAAGGTGTATTTATGCGATCGAATCATAACTGTTTCACTTAACTGATATGCGCGCGGTTTTTCTTCTTCTTTATTTGGATTTGTATTATTGTTTCATTCGTATAAGACATCGCATCGCAATTCATTGGTAGCACAAAGCATTTATGCACCTCGCAGCACACGAAGAAAAGAAAATCGATTTCATCTGACTACTCAAGTCCACGCTAATGTGCAATGGCATTTGCTATACAAATACATGCACAAGAGAACAGATAAAAAACCAACAACCATGCAAAAATAGAACAAGTAAATCAAAGCAACTATTTAGCAAGTAATGAGTTGGGAGAGAGAGAGCGCGCTTGCGCAGGCACATTAAAATACACAGTCGCCTCGATGAACAAGTGTTTTTTTTATTACAATTCTTTGTGTCTCCCAACGGTGTATTTTTTTTCTATAATGTTGATGGCTGCATTCCAAAGAGTCGTATGACAGCTGTGTGCACTGCTGAATGAAAGATACACTCTGCACTCACATTTTACGAAAGGAATACTAATTTTGCGACCACTAATCTTTTCGGGTTTGGAAAGCCGCTGCGTTTGTCCCATGCAAATGCAATTGAAACAAAAAAAAATAGAGATAGATATACATTTTATGTACCAGATATGTCTGTTTTGAGCAATTTCATCCACAATGCTCCTTTAATACAATTGAGCAATTCTTTAACCGGTTTTATTGAATACACAGAATTTGGATATAAAATAAAACTAATAATGAAACAAGTTTAGTTCAATAATACATGCACCTCGCAGTTGTTGAATGATGTGATCATTTAAATGGAAGTTCATTGGGAACTGAATGAATTTCTGAGTAAATGTTTAACCTTTGATCAGTAAATTTTAATATTGTTTCGTCATCTCATCTTCAAAAAAAGAAATCAATTATGCGCTAACAAAAAGACCTGAATCATTCGTTTGCTAACATCCCAACCGAATATGGAATATTTTAATGGATCCACACACAGAGAATATTTAATTGGCAACGGAAGAAAAAAATAAATAATATAAATTAAGAAAGGATCAAATTAAAGAGAAAAAACCAAATTGACACCGGTTATATTCACTTAAGCGTACAGTTGTTTTTCTGCATACACTACATTGTTTGCAAGAATTGTACATTAAGTCAAAGTGTGTTGCGTGTGTCATTTTTTTTCGCCTTGTGCTGATATCAAGAACAAGCAACCGATGGATTGAGAGAATGAGATTGATGAATCTTTGCGGTGAGTTCGACGTTGATGGTACCGAGTAGAAGCGTCGTGTTGTGTGTATGCTGGTTTTTGTATAGTATATTTGATAATTTTGCACAGCAAGACATTGAAACGGCCCCAAACGTATAACCATACTGATATATTATGCAGGGAAACGAAGTGAAAAGATACATGTGTGTACAAAATTCAAAGGCGTATAAAATATTGTGGCATTTAATGGCGACAATATTTATGGCTAGAATGTTGATGGTTCGATTGTCAATGCGTTCAATGTGTGTGCTCGAACACACAACGGAAGAGTTCATCAGGCACTGAGTTGTTGTCGTTGTTTTCTTTTTCTTGCTCTTTCTCTCTTTCGTGTTCTCTTCATTTTTACACTTCTTTACTTCTTTTATTTTTTTCCATTCTTCGATATATATTTGCTCTACAAGTCGTACGGGTTACATTCTGCTTTGTAGCTAGAATATGAGGTTTTCCCACGCACATTCAGTTGATCAATAAAAGTTGACTTTGAAATAAATGACAAGTAGCAATATCTACCGGTTACATGGCATGGAAGAGACTCTTTTAGCTCTTTGTGAGTTGTTCGTTTTCATTGCTTCACGTCACAAATCGCCCAGAATTCAAAACCATCGATTGACTGCGGACAAAACCATTTTCCATTCATTTTCTATGTTTTTATCATTCACTCTCTCACTCTTGTAACAAAATATTTAATGAGGCAATGACACTGTGTGTGTCATTAAATGCATGTAAATTAACTACAATTATTTTTCACTTCAAAATAACGCCATCTGAATGAGTGAATGAATGAAGAAAAAAGTGGGCATGGATAATGACTGTCACACTGCATACAAATGACATTTGATGAAGTTTGATATGATGCTGTTGAAGAGAGAGTGTCTCACACACGTCCAATTCAATCGATACTCTTTTTTCTTCCTTCAAAATAAATTGTTGCAACAATTTAGCATGCTAATTTTCTCAATGGTCTTTGGATTCTTGGTCTTTGATAATACAATGTTGTTAACTTTTTTCCTTCTTTTTTTTCATAAACAGGTGATACTCCGTCCAATGATGACGCATCCACATTTGTAAGGAATTTAACATCATCGACTTCGTTACACCACCATTCGTCCAGTCTATCAAAGCAATTGAAATCGGCATCGTTGGCCGCCTCATTAAATGCTATTGCTGCCGCATCAGCAACAAATTCACAGCAAGCACAAAAGTTCAAGGGCAAACGAAAATCAATCATTGGCAACAATAGCAGCAGTATTTCAAATGCAGTGGATAAAATGTTAAGTGATCGTTTAAATTTAGCCGATAGTAAAAAATTTTGTGATATGAGCAATCGTACGAGTCCTATTCCTAATTTGACTGAAAATAGCAACGGTAATTCATTCTCTTTCTTTTATCTTTTTTTTTTCTCTCACTCACCATTCAATTTTATTGTCCACATTAATTATTTTCACATCGTTGACTTTAAAACAATTTTTTACATTATGTGAATTCCGTTAATAATAATAAATAAATGCGCATGACGTCGACAGGTAATAGCGAGGAAGCAACAGATTTGTCTGACACAAAAGCGATATCAGTAAGTGCAATGGACTATTTCAAAGCAACACCGAACAACGGTGACACATTCAGTACAACAATCAATAACAATAAGTTGATAACCAACAATAACGCAAACATTAAAAACGAACGATTCAGCCCACCACAACAAATGCAATCACAAAATACAGCACAATCAAACGGAGCCAACACCGATGCACACTCATCAAATTCACGGTAAGTAAAAGTTGTCTTTGTTTTTCGTATCGTTATCAACTATCGTTCACATTTTTTTTACGGTCGAGGTATTGTTGTACATGATAAAAATGTACACTGATTTCGGACACGTTTCATATTTAACAAAAAAAAAAAGACAAATATCGTGTAACTTTGATGTGGAAATAGGCAATTTGTTTGATTATTCACGTCTCTCGGGGCTCTTTTGATCGAAAATCTGGCAAATAGCAGAATATAATGCATGACGTTCCATCAATGAAGAGAAAGCAATTATTATTCATACATCATAAATAATGTTGATGGCATTTTGTACGGAATGAAATTCCTACAAAGAAAAATGCAGCCTTTTTTATTCATAATAATATAAAACCATTAATAATGAGAAATTAATTGCATTTATCACATTCTTACACCGTGTTGATAAGAATTTTTCCACGTGTGGAACACGGAGCCACTTTTTCACATGACATTTCAAATGTCAAACGAATTGCTACTAGTGATAATATTGTTTAGTTTGTACAATTCAACAACTCCAAAATGAATTCACACAAATAATTTCCCGAATAATCTGAATCTATATTAAATTGTAATCTCTAAAGGTCAAGAAGTGTAACACCGTCTTCACATCCCGGCACACCGCCACAGCATCAGCCAAATGATTTATTGTCGGGATCAAATTTTTCAACCAGTTTGGCAAATAGTCTTACATCTGGTCAAATAAAACCTGAATTCGCAACCGCTCGAACTTATTCAGATCAACTACGGAACTTTGCAGCTAAATATAATGCATTAAATGAGTATGTTCACCATGAATAGCTTGTTCTTGGGTTTATTTTTAATCACGGATTTCTTCGTATTTCAGATCAAACAGTGTTCGTAATTCACTATTCGATTCCAGATTTAATATGAGCTCAATGAAAACGGGAATAACCAAAGACATGACATCACCGGAGACTATGAAACGAACAACCACAACAGTCCCGTCACCGGTGAGTTTTCAACACATTTGACATGTTCAATTGAACACCTCTTTCAACCAACACATTTAATGAAAAGATTTACTAACGGTTCACATAATATACATGTTTCCGCTTTGATTTCATTTTAAATTTTAGATATCGAATACCGCAAACAATTTGATATCAACATTATTTTCAACATTTCCGCCAACTGCATTTCCATCGTTGATCGATATGCGGGGTTCACAACTACTGCTATCATTGGTAAGTGCATTAACTAATTGCGCCATTGAAAATATACAGATCCTAACCATTGTATCAATTTTCCAGGCGCAGGCGGCAAAAGATAGTGAAATAAAGCATCATATTTTGAATGGACCACAAAAGCGACTGACCAAACGGCAAACACCACCGATTCACACAAATGCGTTGCGTTCACAACAATCACCTCCATCAAATGCAAATACATCTCCGCAAAATCGTATTCCATTGCCGGCAAATATACCAAACACACTTCAGCTGTTGTCATTACAGCAAAAGGCGAACTCTCTGCTAAATAATCAACCATTTTTAGCATCACCGTCATCATCATCGTCGGCACCATCGATCAGTCAAACGTTGACGTCCACTTCAAATAGTAATCGAACAAGAGCATTGTCTCCCCTAGATTTGAGTGCATCAACGCCAATCGTGGCAAAACGTTTAAAAATCGAATCACAAAGTCCAAATCGAAGGACGGCATCACCGTCACCAACAACAGTTCAACATCCAAGAACAAGTTGTGGCAGTAACAGTGAATATCCGACCGCAGCAGACGCATCGCCAGCACAAAATCAACGTCGATGTCATGCCCAAACCGATGAGATCAACTCCTGGACCGTTGAACAAGTGTGCAATTTCGTTGGTAGCATTGACATTTGCGCAGAATACGTAGAGGTAAGTGTTTTTCATTTGCTGTGTTTCGTTTTTTTTCTCTCTTCATTTTCGTGCAATTTTTATATCGTTTGCAATACCCCGTAATCTTTGGCAATAAAATGATCGTCGTATTTTAATAAATGGCAAATGAGTATTAAAGACAGTTTTTATACGCATTTTCACACTTTTAATGCCACTTGAGTGATTTTACATTGGTCGCATCGTTTGGATTAAAAATAGTAATAATTTATTTTTGCTCATTATTCGGGCTGCACACAAAACACGCATATTTAGCAAGACAGAAAAAAAGCACATACTATTCCCCACTCAAAATCTTATCCCATAAAATTGAGACATAAACATTTTTACTCTTTCTTATGCGCGCATAACGTTAATTTATTGGCGAAAAAAAAAGTTTAAATACACATGATAACAAACAAACAAACAAAAAATTAGTCACACCAACCAGCTCCGAAACATTCAATTAGCAGTTGCAAGCTATTTCATAAAAGCCATCATTTTATGTTGATTTTATTGAAGCGATTTTAATGCGTTTTCTATGTGCACAGATAAACAAATCATTATTTAGTTTATGATTATTTTCACATTGGTTTGATTCGATTTTTAGTGATCATTTCCTGCTTGCGATTATTGTATTTATAATCAAATCGGTTTATTTTAGAGAAACAATATCATCACCAATAAAATGGTATAGTTAAAATTCAATACTTGTTCTGTACACACTTGTTGACGTCCACGCATTCACCGAAAAAGAAAAAAAAATTGTACTCGGCAGCTGGCACACGATTTGGTTAAATCGAAAATTGAAATGTTGTTCTCGTTCAAATATCATACATATTAAGGTTGATTTTTCAGAATCCAGCAAGTTTTCCATTGTTAACTTTGCGTGTTTCGACAAATTGTAAAGAGCATACACAGAAAGTTGAATAAAAGCGAACAAAATCAACGCAATTATAGTAAATTGTATGTTAGCCCGAGTGGCATCGAATCTACACACATCTGAAGGCTGCTGGCTATCCTGACCATAATATAATATACAACTTTTGACTTTTGAACATTTTTGTTTGTAAAAAAAAGAACAGTGTGTCTACAAACGATAAATCGATTTGATTTCGTACGGCAAACCTTTTGTTTATCCTCTCGCACTGTTATTCACTGTGCATAAAAATTACGCTGCCGACATCAGAAATGCCAAAGATCATTTCATTTGATCATTCTACCCGTGTCCATTTCGAATGGAAAATGTACACCAGCAATTAACAGATAGACCAATATAAAGGCGTATGGTGGCCCAATTTTGCCTATCTAAATCATGCATGTGCAAACAGGAATAACAACAATAAAAAAAATCGCCACACAACGAAGCACACATTGAAAAGAGGACTCAACTGTTGCCATACTAATAATTTAGCTAATTGCATTTGTCTTGGGGCCAAAGAAAAAAAAGTTCACTTTGTTTAAAGTTGATGCAAAGTAAAAAAAAGTCAGTTTTTTTTGTATATGCAGTGACTTGAGATAGGCATTTGCAAAAGGTCAGCCGAAAGAAAACATATCCATTATGAACAGATACACAGGCAGACACGTGAAAGCCTTTTTGCCTTCGTGTGGTCAAACACACTTATGAGAGAGAAGGGGAGGGAGAGAGAGAGAGAGAGAAACAAAACACACCAATGAACCAATATATAGCAAGCATCGAACTAAAACAGCAGTGTTCATGTTTCAAATATTGCCTTGGTTTAAGTCAAGTTGCGATCCTTGTCGCCTGTTTTTCAAATGACTGCGCGACTCATTTTGTTGCACACACACTCAACATGTATGCTCCACGATGAACTCAAAACGAAGAATAAGCAGCAGAAGAAGAAGAAGAAGAAGAAAAAAAACCACCTGAAGAATTTGCAAAATAGCCGCAAGGAAGTCAATTTTCTCTGAATAAGATCCTGCATCTTTGTAATAATTGCCATTTATTCTTGAGCTCAGTTCGACGATAAAAAAAACATTTATTTTGTCATGCAAATTACTTATGTTATGATTGCATTCGCACATACTTTCAGCTCATTCTCGTGTATTTACCAAATAGATCGATGGCGAAGACAACATACATAAAATGTGCTTAAAATCTTGTCAATAATTTGTCGATGCAATTTATTGGAAATAAATTGCATTATTTTCAAATAAGTGCAAAGCCATCGATATCAGTCCTAATCAGACATGCACCAGCATTACGCTGACGAAAAAAAAACGCCATATCTTTTATCCATTATATTTTGCAAGAAAAAACAACAAAGCTAAATGTAGTGCGTTCACATTTAACTCAATAATTATACGGAACAGTGTAATCTACAAATTTAGAAAAATATGAGTGCATCCAAGTTCCAATAATTCATAGTTTAATGTTCGTCTTGCCGAAATAAAATGCATTGATAAAAACTGTTCGACGAACAGAAGAAGCATATAGACATACGAAAAAAAGAGGGGAATTAAATGGCACGCGCCTCCGGCACGATCTACCTCTTCTGTTTTTATTATTATAACCTCATCCGCAACAGCAAAAACAACAAGTAACAAAACGAACGAGATAAAAACAGCATATATAGGAAAAATTAAATTCTCAAATGCCTAGCAAGAGATGCACCGTGCGCGCAAGCAATTCACTTCTTCTGCTTTTTTCCTTGCTCTCTTATTGCAAATGCGCATGCGAAAAACAGTTCTACATATCGCATGGCACAGGTATTTGTACATAATGCCTCTGATAATAATCACTGGGTGCAGTTCAAACATTTTGTCCATTTTTTTTTACTTTGACTGTATGTTTTTTTTCATGCCTGCCTACTTTATTACATTTTGCAATTTTCTTTCGTTCGTTCGTTTTTATAAATTCTTATTCTTTGTTTCATGACGTTATTATAGTATTCCACGTGAGGCATGTTCTTTTTTTTGCTCAAGTTTTTATGAGCCGTTTTTTTTTCTCAATGGATTGCATAGATCAACTGCAACCTTTTCATTCATTGTATTGCATATGCGTACGATTAATGGTGTACAGAGCGTATAAGACATTTTATCACTTCGAGTTCAAAACGTTTTGAACGAGATTATTATTTTTTTTTTACTAAAAAAAAGGTTCAAAGTAACTTTGTTTTACAGGAAAATTGACTTGTCTGGTTTCATTTGATTCAATTAGCGTGTTTAATTAAAAAAAATACATATACATTTTGAACGTAGAAAGAGCAATTTAAATGAACACAACCAAAAACAATTTTAATTAACAACTTTTTCTCTTTTTTGTTACTTTCAGAATTTCCGCGAACAATGTATCGACGGTTCTGGGCTACCTTTATTAACTGAAGACCATTTAATGCATTCATTGAATATGAAATTAGGACCAGCATTGAAACTACGATCCATGCTATTGAAGAAGCTTGGCGGACCATGTCCATGTGTTTCATGTTGCAATGGCCCAACAAATCCACAAAACAATTCCATGGCGAGTGCCAGTTCAGCGCCGAGCCCGCTCACTAGCGTTCGACGACCGTCAAGCACCGGTTCTGGTACTTAAATCATTGAATACGAATAAACATATTAAAAGCAACGAATAAAATAAAACAACAACAGATTGTTTTCGTTAGATAAAATAAAGTTCGAATCAAACTCTAATTCAAGTTTAGAATATATATAAAAACAGAGAGAGAATATGAAAATAGATGTAAGTTTATCGAAAAGTCAAATCCTAAGAGGATACACACATATATATAAAGTATATAGATTTCATCTGCAATATTTATAAATGAATTTGTGAATTTATTTAATTTAACAATAGCAATCAGCTAGATTAATAGACATTATAAAAGTGTTTTCGAATGACAATCGCTTTTAGATACATCCCGTTTTTAAAAACGTAAATGATTTAGGTGCAAAAGACAATATAAACAATATTTAGATAAATCAAATATATTTAGATAGTTTTATGTTAAGCAATGAAAAATAGAAGCTAAATTAAAATTATTTTATGCATCATTGAGAGCACCCCCTAAGGCAGACTGATTTAATTTTTATATAATTTCAAATAAAATTACTGTTTATGAAAAATATGTGCTAAAAAAATCTCTCTCTTACACACACACAATTTCTCGATTTGATGGAGCTAATGACAACTGATTTGACTACCCAAATGTTTGTGTGTGCAACTGAAATCCCTCACAGCACTTTTGCAATATCACCAATTCAATTTATCACATGGTAGTTGTTATTCATTTATTCAACTAATTAATTGTAATTGCCATTGCTTGCGGGCCATTCCATCCATCTACCGCAAACAGTATATCAACACCAAACACTTTGAACACACACACACACAACCAATTAACAACAGGAATAATTGGCATTTTATGTTCACAATCGTCACACAAAACACGGACCATATTTATTCAAATAACTTTACATTGTTTGCATAGATTCCATAAAATGTATGTTCATTAAAACGATCATTATTATTGATGTAATGCATTGAAATGCACCAACTTTGTTGAACGGTCTGTACCATGTTGGTGGTTTGGATGAGAAAATATCAGTTGAATGTGAAATCAAAACAAAAAATAAGAAATTAATGTCATCTCTTCCCTTCACTTCCAAATCTGATTATATACAGCACAAGTCGAGTATATTCGTCATAGATGCACAAAAACGTACTTAATCATTATATTTAATTACACACTTAATTACAAGAAATTATTTAATATTTCAAACAAAGATTTAAAAATGAAAATACACGAATGATTTCGATTAAATTCGAATTTGTTATAAGTGTATACGAGAAAATGTTTTCCAAACACATAATCAAAAAGAAAATCAAACGCATATTTATAATTGCCAAAATAGACACACTTCCCAATGGTAAGAATGAAAAAAGCAATTTTTTTTTTGACCAGACATCCATCATTTCAAACTTAATGGCCCCTTTATGGAGACAATAACCATTAGAATTATTTTATTCGAAAATTTATAGCTAAGAGGAAGAAAAAAAAAATAATGTACTTATCCTTCGAACTGATGAATGACGGGAATGAAATCGAGCACCTGTTTTATGAAATTTTTATGTTTCGTCTACGATGCAATTATATATCAATCAAAACATTATAAAATGCAAAATACAGAATATTTATTTGAATTTCTGAGAAAAAATGTTGATCAGTATTCTTTTTTTTGAATAAAAGCAATTATAATAACAGTATATTCCATGTGTTTTTCTTGAAAGAAATTAATTTGCACCTTCGACGATAGCTGTATATCAAGCATATCCAGTTATAACCACATATTTCGTACTTAAGTGGAGTTTGGATTTGTGAGATGAATCCTAGCATGAATCATATACAAGCCGTAAAGCAGTGGACAAACCTGCAGAGAATCTCGGTGACTCATAACAGACACTGCAAACTGATGAACTGATGATTAAAAGACAAGAGTATTGCATCTTATTATTATCGATTTATTTAATACATTTGTCCGTAACTATAGGTAAAATTAAAACAAAAATAAAGTTGGTGAATAGACTGCATTCATATCGTCCACTGAAAATGCTATTGGATTTTATGCTTTGAAAACTTATACGTTTACCTATTCGGTCAAATATCAGATGACAAAAAGGGACGCAGTTGCTTTCAATAGATAAAAATGATGTGCATAGTATAATTGACAATTACAATACACATAGAGATAGGATTAATTCCATTCTCAAACTCTTAAGAAACATTGCAACTATTCAATTCTTGATTTTCGATTATAATATTAATTGTAATGGATGCACATTTGCCATATAGTATTTATATAACTTGAATGAATGTTTATTTTTCTTCTTTTTCTGTAAAATCTTCTATGAATTGATGTATATACATTTTGGTTGTTTTAATATTCTAAATCAGAGTGTTGAAACAAACTTTTTTTTAATGAAAACATCGAAATTGTTACAATCAGACACTTTTTTTCGGAGGTGCAAATATAAAATGCTTTGTTACCTCCGACAAACGGTTCTTGAATTACAACGAGTGTGGCAACCAGTATTAATTTATATTTATTTTCCTTTTATTCTTTGATACGTATAGTAAGATGTTCCATATTAATTATCTTTGATTTTCGCATCAATGCTTTTGGCATAATATTAGATATTCATTTAAAAAATATATGTTTATTAAAAAAATGACTTGAGTTTAAAAAAAAATCTGAAAAGAGAACATTTTGTTTCAATGAATAATATAATGAAATGCTTATGTTAATTGACCGGTGTGACTGTGACAATGGTTGGATTTAAAAATCAATTGTTATTGTTTTTATTGTTGTAGTTATTGGAACAAATTGTGTTAAAAAGTAAATGTTGGTCATCGTTCAAATCTCCAAAGAAATTTATTTTTTGAAGCAGGAAATTGGATTGAAGTAGCATTGTCTATAACGTGTTTGACTAAAAAGAAAGAGGGACATTCGTTTAAAATAAAATAATGACGCTTTTTGAAGGAATAGGAAAATTTACCGTTTTGACACAAGCTGTCGGTATGGATCAAGCTGCCATAGTGGGAAATTTAAGTTGCCTCCACTGCCGCCTCTCATTCCAAGCGTATTTGTGGGATAAAATGATCGAAACTGCATTTGATATCTGTCTGTCGGCTCATCCATGTTGAAATACTGAAAAGATTGCATTGGCCGATAGAATGGATACGAATTTTTTTCCAAATCCGACATCCCCAATTGATTGTCCGATGATTCCTGTTTTAATGAAAATAACAAATACAGATTTAATTCCATTTCTTTCACACCTAACGATATTTAGGGATTTACAAAGTTTTTATGAACATACCTGACTGTCGGTGTTTCCATTCGGCCGAGACACGGACACACCAATCAGCATTACAAAGATCAATAGTTGGCAGACTTTCTGCATGTTTGTTTGCGACATTTCTCTAATTTAATGTGTTTTGAATATCGAAAAATTCAATCAACCTTCAAGAGCTACTACGACCGCTGCACAAAAAAAAAAAAAACAAAAACAAAGAAAAACGGTAAATGTATTTGAATCTTTTTCAAACTCCAGACAATTGAAAGTTAGAAGAAAATGATATTATGCGAAGGCTTCCCAATAAATAAGCTTTACAGGATTTATTCAAATCAACATTCATGAAATTAATTATTATTAGAAATTATGAAAAGCATGTGATAGTTAATGGGCGTGCAAAATCAAATTGACGATGTGAGTGGATACAGTATCAAAACAGTAAAATATTGAAAATGTACTGATGACTTTAATCCTTTGTTTGAGTGAATATTGAATCTGAGCATATAGTCCACATCAAATGCTATATTGTTTGAGTTTTCACATCTCTTATATAGCTTCCAATCATGGGGAAAATTATTTAAAAGCAAACTCTTCCTTCTACGAATTCGTTAAATGTCTGGCCATTTATGTTGATTCTTATAATCTCCATTGTACATAAACTGATCCATTCACATTTTCTTATTGGCGTTTATTGTGAAAAGTTATAATTTGATTAATCTACTTCATATGTAAACAAAATATCCATAACAACAATCTCCCACAAGGTATGGGATACCATTTCTTCACTTGTTGATGATGGATGATTTTGAATCCTTGCAAATGAAATGTTTTAATCTGTGTCTGGTAATACTTGTATTTATTTAAATATTTTAAACGACAATTTGATGTAGACTTTATGTTAAGCCAGGTAGAATAAATCGATTTTCCGCTAGAAGTGGACTCAAATATATTAATCGGTTTTGACATTATAATTTTGTTCGGGCGTGATTGATTGCTTACACTTGTTGCATTCACCACATAAAAAAATTGTTCGTGTCAAATTATACACGTAGGCCAACACGATTTGTTGATGTGAATAAACAAATTAAAATTGTGTCTGAGTTCAGTTGAACTAAATACATTTCGGCTGCAACGTGAGAAGAGATTCACTTTGTCTCATCAAAATGAACATAAATCGAAATAAAGTTCGGTATGACAAGTGACGCACTGGTGACTGAACAAATATTTACATACTAATTTGTCGTTTTGAACGTGAACAAATTTATGGGGCAAGAGTTGCCATTTTTCCTCATCATCACATCACATTATTCGTGTGTTTTATTACATTACTAATTTTTATGCCAACTTCAATTCCACTGAGAAATGAATCCATATTATTGCAGGCCATTTTGGCGATACCAAAATTCGTTCAACATGCCAGAGCAAAACTTTGATTTGATGAGAAAATTTGTGGAAAACTATATTTTACTAAATCGGATCCTTTTGTCAACCTTTTTTTTCGACAGAAATTTATGCTCTCCGACTAGTTTCACACTCAATACATATTCCAAATGTAAATTTGCTATAATATAGAATGGATAGCAATTTTCTTGTATCTGTTTGATGCTTATATAAATATCAGTTTGTGGAAATACATCGGCTTCAAAGATGTATAAAACCATGAAAAAGAGACATGAGAGAATAAGTTGCGTGAGAAGAATTTATTTGAATGTTGCGTCATTTGTTGGTTTTGAAGTTTAAAAATAATGTCATAAATTAAGGCTGCGACAAAGAAGGAGTTCTATAACGGGATGAGACACTTTGATATGATCGTGTGCGCGTGATAAATTTTTAATCTACATTTGTCACGGTAAAATTGATACCATGGAAATCGGTGCCGGCATATATTCCATGGGCTTATCAGATGTTAATTTAAAAATGTAATGTACAAATTGCAATAACCGATAAAAAAAAGATGTCAACATTTGAAGAAATCGAATCAATGCTGTTGATGACAACAACTCAAGTGTATTACGATAACATTTGGTATTCATAGCAAGCATTTACTTTAATCAACGTCGTAAGAAAAAAAAATGACAAGAAAAGGGTATGCAAATCGTGATCAAATATCCACTTTTATTTGAGACGAGTATGCAACTTGGGCACAGGCAAATGGTCGACGTACTGTGCGCTATTCAGTAGATGAAATCAACAAGTGGTGTAACGAAACCAATTCATGTGTATCAACAACATATTATGATAATATTCATGTGTACATCGGGCGCCTACGATTTAAAAAAGATTTCAGATTGAAAGCATTTTTTGAACATAATATGATGCAAGCATTTCCATCTATTTTAATTGACATGTGTGTTCGGTGACATCATAGTAAGAAAAAACAAGTGATTTTTATAAAAACAGCGCAATTGCGAAAGAAGTCTGTTGTCTTGTGCAGTTTGTCCTTTTTTTGATACAGGTCTTATGTTTGTGACAGCCAATAATTTCATGTATAAATGTTACAATTTAAATATCGATAACAATTGACATTATGTTTTACAATGGAATGATGCAATATTACGGTGCAAACACGCGGAATTATGTAAACTGTTTTCATTCTACATTACTCCCGTGTCACCGCCGACCGAATTCATAACATGAATTAGCAATTTACGTACAATTCATATGTTTTAATTTTGTGTGTACGCTTGCAATTTCGCATGGCATATTTTTCTATCCACCCTTGGTTCTTGTTTTCGAGTTTCAAATATTGAGATAAACGGACATGTGTTATGTCAAACAACAATTTTTTTCGTCAAACATAAACAAATCACCACGGTTTGACATTCAAGGGATGAGAAATTGAATGAAGAAGATGTAGTAAACATTAGGCTCTAAACGCCCTCTCGAGACATGTTCAATTGTTCATGTTCATGTGTTTTTTTCCTCTTTTCGCCTTCAATCTCTGGTCCGATAGATTGTTATTTTTCCATTCAAAGAGAAGCGATTTCTGCCCGAAATTTCAGTGAATACAGTTTTTAATCTTCTATGTTTTTGAAGCTTCGTACTTATTTTTGATTGTTTTCTTATGCATGCAGAGTTGAATGATTGTGTCCATTGCCAATTGTTATCCACACGGGATGCAAATAGAAAGGCGTTGAGTGTGGGATTCAACATAAAAATGGTATTTACTTTGCTAAAATAAACATAAAATATCAAACTGATTTTTTTTTTGCTTCTCAGTAGCAAAAGTTAAAGAAAACCAAATGAGTGCTTCAATAACAATAGAAGGAAAACGAATTGTTTTTCTTTCTCTCTCTCTCTCTCTCTCTCTCTCTCTCTCAATCGAATAGTTAAATCAATTTGATATTAATCAAGTTTTTATTGGAAAGTTTTTGTTTTCTTTTGTGGTTCACTTTCAACTTTTCCCATTCAATTCACCTTGTTTTGTCCTTTCTTTCTCATTGAACAATTGAACATATATCAAGTCATAAAAAGGGCTTCTTTTATACATTTAAATATTTTCTTAGCATATTAATTTCCATTTAGTTGAAATCGGTTATGTGAAAAATCAATCGAAACTTTCTTGTCCCTGGAAGAACATTGAATGAGGAAATTTTGACGTGGGCGTTTATGTAATGGATTGAATTATGTGACATATTTAGTAAACAGGAAAATACTGTTCATGTCTAGAAAAGTGTTCTATTCACTTCGTTTTAACCACAAAAATATTTGAACACCAAAATTCAAAACAAAACGTTGTTGCAGCACCACAGAAATTATCCTGACACAGCAAAAAAGTATTTTGGCTGGGTTTTGTTTTTGTTTACTTAGTCCCCGAGTGACACAGTGTCATACAGAATTGATGTTTTACACTCGTGCATTGATAAATTGTAGTTTTTGTCCTTTCAACTCAATTTCAATCATTTCAAACAAAACAATTGACTGCAAACATGTAAACTCGATTGAAGGCTTAAGTGGGAATCGATCATAGGGAAAATGTGAAACTTTAGTTTCAATTTCAGCTAAAAATAAAATGCCTTACATCCGTAAGATGAACTTTTCCGCACTGTGATCCACAACATGCATTTATTACCTATCTTTTACCGTAAAGATGAATTCATGAAAAAACTGAATCTTATAAAAGTTTTGCGATACAAATAATTTTTGTTGGACTTTTCAATGCCTGTATGATATCGTTATCATATGAACATTTGCAGATGTTTTTTTTTTCACAAAAAGCTAACATTCAAAAAGCTAACACAACAATTGAGTGGTACCTGCGAAATATTTGTATGGGGAGTACCCCTAATATGCATTGAAATTTCTTCAAACTCTCGGAATGTTATTTTTGTGTGAAAAAAATAACCTGTGCAAAGTTTCAGCTCATTACGATATCGTACAAGCATGGCTTCCATACAAAAATTCAATTTTTTGAAATTTTTGAATGAAAAGTGTGTCGAAAGTTATTTGTATCCCAAAACTAACATCATATTCGATTTCCTCGTACCCAAAAACCCCCCAATACATATTTTTGAGTGTTTAAGAATACATTAAATATCACTTTTGGAAGAAAAATTGAATTTTTCCCATGGATGGCCATGGGCACGTTCAAATACTTCAAAGGAAAAAAAATAATTTTATTTTCCTTTATGCTTTCGCAATCGTCAAACTTGAATAAAAAAAATCTTTCAGTACCATCTTTTACAACAGAAAACCAATTCTACAAATAAAACGTGTCATAATTTTCTTTATCTCTAACTTGGATTTTGATCTTTATTTGACTTCAACAATAAATTTTTACATTCATTTGAATTGGATAGTGCATTTCAATGGGAAAGCTGCATAAGTGCGTTACGAGGTGTATGTTTTTAAGCACACAAAGAAAAGTCATTGATTTCTATGTGAACGAAATCTTATTTATAACAAAAACACTATAAACCTTTTATGATGGCGACGAAAGAAATCGGATCCTTCCACAAAAGTGTCCCAGTTAATAGATGTATTTTCAAGGAAATTGAATAAAATGCAATTGCTAGTATGTAAATGGATTTTTCCATCACGTGCGGACTTTTGCTCTGCAGTCCGATAGTTTTAACTTATTGCATAAACAAGACTATTGGAATGTCGTTATTGACTTAATACTAAATCTTCCGAGTTCTATTGATTTCACAAAAATATGCACACTATTGAAAAAACGCACATGTTTAATATTTAGCACATATGTATGAAAACCGCAAAAAAAAAACTTACAAATGAAAAAAAGAATTAGAAGAAAATCGAAGAAGTATATGTGACGCGTGATGCAATAACCATTTTATTTTCTCGGAAAAACTATGGACCCCTTACGAAAGATTTTGTGGAAAATAAACGTCGAATTTAATTTAAACGTCAGAAATGTGTGAAAGGAAATTCCACATTTCCATTGAAATTCGTTGATTTGATAAAGCTAGCATATGCATAAGCTACGGCAATGACATCCGATTTACATGAGATAAATTTAGAAAATCCTATAAATAAATAGTTTAACGCCATAGCACATATTCGCAATTTCCAAGCAATTTATGCGATAGACTTATTACTTGATTTGCATATTTAGTGGTTAAAAAATGATTAAAACGTATGTGATTTTACGCCAGTAGTGTGCGAGGTCCGATTTTTATGGGGGGTTCATTTTCAAAACTTCATTTTATCTATCCTCACATTTTTCACCAAAAAATCCTAGCAAATCGATAGAATTTTTCAAAATTCCATTCTAATAGGTTTTTTTATTCCACTCGAATCCGAATTGACTAAAAAAAAGAAATTGGAAGAATTTTTCTCTCTTCAGAAAGCCTAGATATTTTTTTTTTTTTTTAAATTAGGGTTGGGAAATTAAAAAAAAATCCTCTTCTCAAAAACACTAGCAAATCAAAAGAATTTTCAAACCATCAGGGAGGCGTATACTACTAAATCCTCCGCACAATACTGTTTTAAGCGTATGTATGAAAACTCCACTTTTCGAAATTAAAACATTAACACATGCAATATTCATAGGCATCACTCAACAAATGCCGTAACAATGTATGTTCACACATCAATACGTTAACACTTGTGCCAATTTATCGAACGGAAATGAAAATATCTATGGTATGAGTGTTTATCTAGGTGTCTATGTGAAATAAATTCAAAACTTATTAACATCAAAATATAACCTGTTTTTCATGCAAACAAAATGTCCACGTGTAGAATTGTTGAATTCTATAAAAAATCATTCTTGTCTTTATTTGGATCTTTTGTGTGAGCATTGGAAAACATATATGAAAAATATAGCCGAATTCATTGCCAGCTCTAATTCACTTAAATCATGAATGGAGGCCATTTGCTGTTTGAACGTCTGTTTTTCTTTCAAACACCTTCTTCTCTGGACAACGTTTCGGTATATCAAGTGTTGAAGCTGTTATAGTTGGATCGGTGCATGTCACTTATATTGTAAGCAGCAATTGATTGCGAATATAATTCAATTGAAATAAATAAACGTGACATTCAGCCCCGAAGAAAATTGTGGGCTAATTCATTTGAACGATGTAATTTAATCTTCATGAATCTGATTTGTAAAAATCAGTGAAGTGAACCAAAACAAAACCATTTCATTGGTTTTACTTACCGAACGAACTGGATCAATCTGAACGTTCCGACAATGGTTTACACTGTACACACGACCGTACAATGGCTGTGTGTGTATTAGTGTGCATTGCTATTCACGTACACATACGTCGCCATTCAAACCATTCTCGGAACGTTCCGCTTGCTCCGTTTCGTTCACAAAAAACGAAATCAATTCCGAGATACTGCTCCGAAATCGGTTTGTATGAGAAATGTCAAACCGGTTCACTTCACTGGTAAAAATTTGTCAATGCAAAAGATGCAACATAAAATACACTCTGTGATTTTTACTATTTTCTATTTTCCAAATGAAAAAAATGTTTTTTTGCATTTCACAAATTTCAATTTCCATCGATATATTTTTAAAAGATTTCCATAAAAAAAGAAGATAAATTCTTATCCAGAAAAGAGCCGTAGGATAGAGAAGCAGGTATTTGTGTATCTTCTCAAATTTCTGACAAGAAATTTCAATTAGATTTACTACCTTCTCACATCGATATGATCTATTTTTCTCCGATTCCAATCAATAAACGAGTCCAATTTCATTCATTTCGGCGAAAGAAAAATGAGGACACACTTTCAAAACAAGATAATATTTTTCACACACTTCAATTGCCTACAAAGGATATGATATACAACATTTATATAGAATCAGGCGGAGGCTATGTTTCAAAAAATAAATATAACATCTTTTCTATTGGATTTTTTAAACTTTGTTTTTCCTTCAAACCAAAAAAAAAATGTAAACATAAAGTTTTTAGATTAACTGTGATGTATAATATGATGATTAATTCTTTGTGATTTTAATACAAATTATAAATATTTCACTTAATTAAAAGCTTTAATATTTATTCAAGGTAAAAATGGAAACATCTTCCTTCGAATGAATTATGCCCAAAGCTCACTTTTTCTCTATTCCTTTCAAATGAATTTTTGTTATTTTTTTTTTCTGGCTAATAGAATTGTGAAGTTTTCTTTTCTCTACTATTGTGGGAAGTGTATTTGCGTCACTGAATAGTTAATGGAAGCAATTATTAAATATATTAGCATTTTCAGCATGTGCCTTTGAGCGTATGATGGAACATTTATATTGTCCTGCAAACTCTATTGTAATTACAACTGTTGATGTTTGAAGCTGTTGAACCCAATGAATATCATATTTGCTACAAGCTCGAGTTTTTGTTGTTTGTAATTGATTGTTCATATTTGCCAGCAAATTGGAGTGCAAAGTGCACGCGAAAAAAGTTCATAGCCCAGAGTACTATAAATGAACAGAACACCAGAAAAACCTTTTTGCTTACATGCAAAAAAAAATCCATCTACTTTATTTATGGCGTGGTAAACTGAATTAACGACGTGAAAATGGGTTGATTATTGACTTAACGTGTCTTTAATCCGGAAATTTATACATATTAGGAAGCATATGGTGGATGTTCTTAGCATTTTTTTGTAAGTCTCATTTATAAAAAAAAATGAGAAAAGGTCTTCGCAGCTATGTACACTTTTTTGTAAAATAGGCAAAGATAACTTTTTGGGTACATTTTTTGAATTCTTTGTTAAAGTTTTCTTCGATTTAAAAAATTGTTGTAATTTTCATAGCTCATCGTCTTAATCTTATTGACCCAAATCTAACCAGTGAAAGTCATTTTCATTTCGTTGTAGGCGTATCGCAGTGCTATCTTTATAATAATTAATTTTGGTTTTTTGATAAATTTCTTGGCAACTAACATAATGAAAATTTGGAAAATTGAGTGAAAATATTCATTAAGTCAAATGGTAATCCCAATGGGACTTGTTAATCGTGCATCAAACTGTTTCAATGTTATTCATGCTGTTTTCTTCACGTACATTTTGAATCGACGGACGTAGAAAGACTTTGCTAATTGGCCGGATAAAATTTAATTGAATGTTTTTTTTTCAGATTGTTTTAGGCGGTTAATATTGAAAATTGGCTGTTAACCAAATACTGTGGTTTAATGGTCAATTATTTCATCATTTCATCAATTTTTGTTTGGAAATTTTTCCGTTCGCAAACATTTAACTAAATTATCGAAGTTTTGTGGAAGATACTAACATTAGCCACAAAATTTTCCATTTTTACGATATGATAAGAAATGCACACACACACGTGATGTGGCCGAGATATAATCATAGACTTCAGATGCTTTTTCATATATTAAAGATTTCATAAGACGAAATATTAAATGACCGAATTAAATTACCACCTGACATAACAACGATTTATCACGTGCTTTCAATTAATATCAGCCCACGATTGACGGCCTTATTAAAAGCAATTATTCTAACATTTGCAATCAGAAAATTTCATTTTTTTCACATGTTCACATCTTTCTAGAGATAAAATAAATAAAACACCTTTTAAGAAAAAAAAAATTTAATTGCTTAACAACCAAAAAAAAAAAATTAAATCTCTAGAAATATAAAATGACTTTAATGTTATGAAAGGTGAGATTTTATTATTGGAAAATTGTATTTTGTAAAAAAAAAAGATTTTTTCAAATACTCACTATTCTTGATGATTTCAGGAAAATATTGTCGTAACGTTCGATCACAACAACGTTGAGTTTAAAAATTGCAATAAAATTGAGTTTGTTAAAAATAAATTCACAATTGAAATAATTTCCTTAGCTCTTTTGTTTTGTCTTATAAAATATCTAAAGAACTATTTGACGATGTTCAATAATGGTGAAAATGGATCGAGAATCGTGCTATAATATCAAAATACCACAACTGCACAATGCGAAAGTCTTTAAAACACTTAGCTGAAGCTTTGCATTTGATCCGTTTATATAGAGAGCGGTTGGCTGCTCAAACTGTGCGACATTATCCCTCTCGTTCAAATCCATTGCATGGATGTTTAACGGTATTGTGTTACTCCCACTTGTTGTTCGCGACTCTCATTGAATGCCATCACACACGTACGCACATCCACTTTCTAGCCAATTCGCTTTACACATTTTACCAAGTTTCAAGCTGCCTTCTATACTCTTTTACTACTATGTGAGGTTACGCGTATATTGCAATTACTCTTTCCTTTCGATTGGATAATATATATGTAGAACTGTGATTTTTCTTGTGGAAAATCGAAAAGACGACATAAATACCACGCATTTCGTCTAATATTATCATTACAACACTGTTATCTAATTTACAGGTGGTTTTCTTTTGTGTGTAAGCGATTAGATTTACGATAAATTTTACAGTACCATATGCCCAATGATAAATCATTTTACATTCGCAACACGTCGTTCAAAAAAGAGTATCTGACAGACAACCATTTTCCAATAAATTTTTCTAAACAGAAGCAGCGTTTGTTAAATTAATTTTAATGAAAAATATTCATCACTACGAGACAATAAGTAGTAAAAATTGATGTCGAACAACATTTCTCTCACTCAAAATGCTTTTGTTCACAATGTTTGAGACATTACAATCGTCATGACGTTTATGAGTGAATGAATTTGTTGTATAAACTTGCACTCCATTTCCTCGTATCAATATAAGAATGTATTTTCAAAATATTAGCCAACGGGCTTGAGACGAAGCTATCTAGGAAAATCCACGGAAATTATATAAGAGTAAAATAATCATTTTATGCTCTTTGAATTATCGCTATAACACGTGTTATCATGTAATCACGTGTTCTGAAGAAAACTATGTTCTTTTTGGTGTCCCAATTAATTGAAAACAAATTATCGAGTGGTCGTATGCATTTTACAAAATTCCATTGAAAAGTTCAATTAATGACGTCAAAAGGTATTTCGTTAATTACCAATTCACATTTGATTGATACTTTATCTTTATCATTTATTGGTTTATTTGCATTCTGCAAACAAATATGAAAAACTCACAGTTATAGCATTTCAAAAGGTGAAGCTTCAATGTAATGAACAACAATACAAACAAGAAGTCAAATACGGGATCAATTTCCAATGGAAATATGTTATGAATCACAACTTATGATATGAAATTGAAAGATAAATAGAGGTTTCTTTTGTTTGAAAAATTACCTAACTTCCGATACTTTTATGAAATAAAGTAAATACATTGGTTCGTTTAACTATCATATATGCGCCGCATGGCTCGAGTTTTGAACAGAAGGGAATAAATGGTAATGCAAGGCAATTTTTTTTACTTAGTTTATCTATTTACTCCAAGAGTATCACATTGTTGCTTAATTTAACAAATATTGATGACAAAACATCTTTTACAGTTGCTTGATGTTTGACTTCTGTCGCAACGAATCTGTGATATTCGTTTTGAGTTCAAGTTGAAAGTGTGATAATACGAAACAAAGATATTTTTCTCAACTGAACTATGATTAGATTCACGTGCATTTATAGAGAATTTTGAAAATCGAATGAAATAAAGAATTCGTTTAATTCCATATAAAAAGAGAATTTTTATGGCTTTAATTCCTGAAAACTATCAGTCATCATATTGAAAGTCATAGATGTGAAAGGTTGTATGATATATTTAAGTATTAATATGGATTGTAGGCGTTTTGTTTTAAGATTTCTTAATCATTTAAAATATTCATATCCTAACGATGACCATTTCATAATTCAAATGTGACACATTCTAAGTTTCAAGAGTACAGAAACAGAGAGGATAATTTTGATGATTCTATTGAGAATTTCATCCACACAGACATTTCCCCATCACAAATTATAAAAATGCTTCAAAATTACTTTTCGAGTCAAATATTATCAACATATTTCATAGGCTCGAAAACCATCAATATTAATATGTAATGATTCCATTTAGTTCATTTTTAAGTTTATCATCAGGTCCTCGTGCAAGTCTAAAGAGCATTGGTCTAGTCCAAGAGGCAAATAACTGCTCATCATTTTCAATTTAAAAAAACATCAAACAAGAACTTACATCGCATGATATTAGTTTTGCAAGAACTAAACAAGAGTTTTCACATGCACGATAGTGCAAAATATTACATTGTGTTTAAAAACAAAACCTACGTAAAACTGTATATCTTAGTACATAGAATAGAATCTATATAGCACTTATGAAAACTTCACAAAGTGCAAATATGACTATTGTTCTTCGATCTTATCACAAATGTGTATTTTCAATTTATCGAATTATATATTAGTTGGTAAACATTGTATAATTTTAGAAATTTGTATAAAGAAGATAAGATTTGATAATAATTTGATTTTGCCGATCACGATTTGATTTAACCATTCCAGCATGTCATTCAATCATACTGAACTCAAGTGCGTCATCATTTCCAATAACAGCAGAATTTTCATATTTAAAGCTTCCACTAAAAGCAGTGATACTTATTATCCAGCTGTTACCGAAATGGATGAAAGTCTAAATGAAATACAGTATGGGGTAAGAATTTTTCATGGAAAATGCTTTAACGAAACTTCCTTAAAAGCTCACGCGGGATACTTACGGAAAAAGCTTTATTCAGCACATTTCGTGTCAGCAATCAACGTCATCGACAGACCCATTCTAAGACATAACGGTTTACAATTTCCCTGAATGCAAAAAAACATTAAATGAAGCTTAAAAATGCCAAATTAATTAATTCTATAATTTTATTATTAGAATACCTATAGAAAGGTTGGTTTCTAATTTATTTCTGTACTTTTCAAGGTTGCCGCTCATTCTATACTTGCCATAAAATCTAAATGAATCCAATTTAGGTACTTCGAATTAAAATTTCGCACAATTATTTCTACATATAAATCTTTATTGAAGCTTTGTTAATAAGAACATTTTACATTTGAATCATTTGAATATTATTACACAACATATATTAAATACATTTAGAATAGTCAATAAAAAAATAAATTGATTGGGGAGATCAGACTCACATTCCATGTTATTGTATTGTCTTTTTAGAGAAAAATTATAACGCCATGGCTGGCATTTACGTTTGATGCGAAACTATAGTTGACATTAAATGGGTGTGAGTATAGAAAAGTAAATTGAAAACGTTAAGAAATCGAATGATTGTAAAAAAATGTGATTGTCCGTCCGTGACGAGTTTTGAACAAAATTGAGGGAGAAAATTTGTTGGGATTATTTTCGGAGTGATAGATTCAATGGCGATTCATTCGAACATGGACGTTCGCTACCATCTTTTATTTCACAATGATAACGAATGGCGTGTGCATATTATGCTTCGGCTATGACGTAGTTCGAGAACAAAAATGGTTCAGCTCTATATAAATATTTGTTGCCATTTAAATTATACTATTTTCATAATATAAACTGCATGCGTTAATTGTTGCATATGGTGTTGACAGTCATTGTTCTGTCAAATGGATAATGAAAAGTTATAAATCCGCTAAATTACATCGTTTTGCAATAAAATTTCAAAACTATTTACACTCCGCCTTTTTTGAAGCTTTATTTATCGAGAAAAAAAAGTTCACACATATATTGTGATGAATCATACAAACCATTGGTTTAAAACCAAATACGAATAACCACATTAAATACTCTTCGTGTATATATCAATTGCTCTATTAATCAATTTAATATTGGATACATAAAATGTGTACGTGAATGATTAGATTGAGACATTAAACTTTTCAGATAGTGAAAATGATGAATGTTCCTTTCGAAAATTCTGGAAAAAATTCTTCAAAATGATGTAACCAAACGGTTTTTAATGTTAGATTGAAACTAACAAAGAAATAACAAAAAATGGTGTAAATAAAATGAGAAAAAACTGTGAGTGACATTTTAGAAGCAGGTGACTGCATTGAAATAACATCGCCAATAGACTCGATTTTTATTTGTTCCGAGAGCTTCTCCGTGTCCTCTTCGTTGCAATCCCATCTGTAATATAAAATTTAGTGTTAGCTTGTGCCGATTCACGTCATTTTTCTATTGAATTTCATTTAGTTAGATTTGTGTATATTTATTAGGTATAAATTTATGTATGTAAAAATTCAGCCACATAGTGGCGGAAGTACATTGCCATATGTGAATGTGTTTTGTTGTAAATCAATTTCCAAAAGAGGAAATGAAATTAAGTTCGATTTTGTTATAAGCCTCGTGGCACGAGACTCATGCTCAGCGTCATGAAGTATTTTTCACAATTTTGCGTGTAGGTGTTTTTTTTTCTTCTTCTTCTACTCATAGTTCAAAGTGATTTTTATACATACCGTTTCATCTGTTGAATGCGTTCCTTCAATTTCATTCATTGTTTCAACATTAAAATCAATTGGGAGGTCAAAGTAATTCAAATCATTTTCCGTTCCAGCTGCTAACAGAAATTCGATAAAAAAACGGAGTCTGTTATAAGTAAATGTACGGCCTATATAAAGTGTGACCAACCTTTGAATTGTTGCATGAATTCCTTTTGCAAACGTACGTTGCTTACGGGATGCCGACTAACCTTGTGCATGTCTGCAATCCTTTGAATACCTTCTCTGTCATTATCCTCGAGTGCATGATGCAATGCCACCATTATTCGATCGAGCAACATCGCTGCACGCTTTGGAACGACCATCTAAAAATAAAATTGTGTGATATATGATATGTTTTGTTCTCAGTTTTCTCAATATTCAAAAGCGTTGTAAATTCAGCTGTATTAAAAGTTTATTTGATCTGTATTCGTCATTATGTAGGCGAAAGAAAAAAAACATATGAAAATGGTGTTGTGTGAGAAATCTTTAATCGCTAATTTTCTTTACAACGGAACAGCTACTTGTATAGCTTATTGTGCGGTCGTGTTAACGTTAACAATTTCTTGAATGAAAATGCACGTATCATGTAGAAGAAAATTTTGTATGTTTTCGCTACGTTCAAATGCTAGTCAAATGTGGTGTGAAATAGACAATTTGCAGAATTATCATAGTAATCAATTATCGTATTGATCCGTCGTGCAAATAAGATTAAACTTTAGAAAAATTCAAGTTAACTGAAGTTAGTTAACAAGTTCATTTCATGCAAGTTTCTTGTTTGGAGAAATGCATGCCTATTTAGAGCAAAACCGTATTATCGTTCATTTTGCATAGATCGCAGTTTTTCTATTTTCAACTAATTGGTGTCAATTCTTATCCAAACTTACATTTTAGCATATAAACGAGATATCTTCATGCTTTTCATCAAGAAATGAAATCTCCAAAAAAATAGTTTTTATCACCTATTACTCTTTAAACGTGGGACATATTATATCATGCAGTTCTTATTTGGGCAGTTTTCAATCACGTAATTTTTTTTTGGTAGTACTGTGTCTACTGCATTAGATCACAAGAAATTTAGATCAATTTTGAGTTTTTTTTTTTAAATTTGTGATAAAAATATGAATACAATAATTTGATTTCAAATAAGATATGAAAATAAAACTTGAGTTTTTGAGCGTAATGTAATTTCAAAAGTCAAATAAATATAAAAATCGTTTATTATTTTTTTGTTTTTAAGACCAGACAGTTCAAATGGAATGTCATTCAAATATTTATTCGTTAACTTCAGAATAAATCCATTGACTATTGCTCAGTAAACTTAATTACGATTCTGTTCAAATTACACACCTCTGACATTAAAATTGAGTGTCACCTTACACCTTTCGAACGGATTCTTTTCCAATTTCATAGAAAATGAAAAATTGAATATAATTTTACTGCATGCATTTTAGCGAAGTAAAATGAATTTTAATGATGCTCCGTAAAAGTGGATTAAACAATTGCCCACCAGTGGATTGACAACGTATCATGTTTCAAAGTCTGCTTCAAAATTATAATTTTGTTAATATAATGTTGACCTTTTCCAATACTCTCTATGCAGTCGACAATTCAATTTTAAAATGGAATTCAATTGGTCATGGCCAGTTCAACTGCATAAATCTTTTTAACGTCACAACTAGAAGGATTCGAGACAGACACTTTCTTAAAGAAGCAGTTTTTTTCTTCGAAAAGTGTGAGAAATTATACAACTTTGATATGCTATGATGATGATTGTGTAATACGAGTAAAATACTATTTTAACTAAAGAATAAGGGTGTAACTACATGGTGCTTAGATTTCAATTGCCTTCATTAAATTTTATAATTTGTGAGTATTGCTATTCATAATCATTTTTTCATTTTATGGCAGCGCTTGTACACGAGTAAGGAAATTCGGTCGATAGATAATCATTTTTCCGCGAAGAGCTTATGGATGATTATCATAAATATTCGCCAAAAGTAGCAAATTTTTTTGTTTATAGAATAGGCCCTTCAAATCGCACAATCTGTGAATTGCACACTCGTTGACACCAACACAAAAAATGATGATTGCGTCAGTCGATTCAAATCAGACGAGGACAGAATTTCTCAATCTATTTACCGTTGGATTTATTAATGTAAATAATAATGGAGAGAAACAAAAAAACAATGCGTAAATTCAATTCATATCAAATTCTTTGTTGGGAGCATTTTTGAATTTGGTTGTTCCAGAAAGTGGTCATAGATCCAAAAAGTATCGTATTTATTTACATTTTATAGAGGCTATTTTTATTGTGTGTTTTTTGCCATACATTTGTGGATGCATTCGAAATTAATGCGGGCTGATACGTTGCGTGGCACTTCTTCAATATAATTCATGAATAAATTTATTGAAGTGTTCAATTGCGCGCAAAGTGGGTCTTAGTGGAAGTGTTTATACATTTTCGTTCTTGTTCAACTTTATTGTGACAAAATGCAACGGCGGGTTGATTGAACGTAGCTCGTGAATAAGCGAAAAAAATGTTTGTTTTGAAAAACTATTCTAATTTTGCACGATTGTCGTGGGTTCAATCAAAACAATTGATTCTTCTTTCATCTTTTCTATATTTAAAGAATATAAATTGGTTGCTAAAAAATCTTTGACTTACCGGATACTCATCGTAGCTCACATTTATTCTGTCCATTCCACTTTCTGAATTTTCTGCATTGAAATCTGGCGATGCACTTCTTTTCAGCGAAGCGCTCTCATTACAACTAATAAATACAAGCATCCAAATGGCTACACACAAAATCCAATTGATCGATGGAAATTTGGTAACACCAATGTATTTTCGAACCGAAACCATATTTCGAATGCTTGGTTTCATTATTTTTTCTCAATCAAATATTACTTTATTTTAATCACCAATTTTTTTGTTTAAAAAAATGTTTTTTTTTTTCTTCGATTTATCTCGTGCAGTGTAATCTACTTTAATAATAAATCAGAACACGTATTATTTCACCGAGATAATTGTGCAAACTTATAGATCCAAAACTTTATCAAATATAACTGATTTGTTTGGTGCTCCGTAAATCATAGAAAAATCGCTCCAATGTCTATGACTACTGAAAAACATCTAAAGCCTTACGATGAGCTTTAACGCGCTTTTATACCGTTTTCATAAGTGCGATTCACTTGAGCATAATGGAAAATATGCGAATGTCTGTGGCGTTGAATAAAAAAATGCAAAGAAAATTGTTTCATGTACTATCCGCTTGAGTGTGTGAACGGTGTGCATCTCGCTGCGTATAATAATATTAATCTCTGAAAATACTGAAAATCTACTGTAGCAACAATAAGGCGTTATAATTTGCAATGGTATTTAATCTGTTGTGTAAGTGCACTTTCTATTTATTGTTTCATTTGTTGCAATGATGTTGAATTCTAAACGGCACATTGAACCATTCTTTCTGCAGAAATTTCGGTCAATTTTTCATCTAGATATACAGAGAGGGTGAAAAATCATGTTCATAATTTTTAATTGCTAATATAAAAGATGATTGGAAAACGATTAATGCCATTTTATATGTGACCGGATAAACTATAGGAACACTTTTGATATCACAACAATTTTGGACAACGAATACAAACAATACCACCAGATTGTTGCACTTAACCACTTTACACTGGCGTTTTTTATGGTTTGTGATTCGAGGGGGAGACATTGCTCTCTATTGAACGTTGGACAACCGCGGCGCGATAAACATAACATTGCTCTTAAAGTAAAATCGCTTATGACTACTGGCATCACAACAATATAATAATGTAAGAATGTTGAAGAGTTTGAACTAGCGGAAATTGATTGATTTTTCATTTTTTTTTAAACCATGGAAAATGGCGATCGAATATATAACAATAGTAACAAAAGCAAAATGCATTCGATGCGTGTATTTCTAAAACGGCTAAAAAATTTAAAGATGAAGAAATGTTTAAGGGGCACAAGGTGGAACGAGCCGAAAGACCTCTACGTTGTCAGAATGGTTTTTGGGCACTGGGAAGTGCTCGCGCATTTTGGTAAAAATTCACAAAATCGATTGTAACTTGTTGAAGAGATGGTGGATGAAATTGTCTTTTATGGTAACATTTGCACAGGATTGACCCCCTATATCGATTGGGCTTAACAGAATTACCATGCAAGATTTCCTTCGAAAAATAGAAAATGTGCCCATATAAAATGGCAATGCAACAAACATAATGGCTTCAAATGAGCGCGAATCATGTTTTATTATCAGAGACTAGCCCTGATGAAGTTTAAAGCAACTTGAATCAAAAATTAAGTACACTTCGTATACAAAATTTTCATTTCTCTGTAAGCTGTAACCTAAATCACTGGTTACCTTTGTAGTTTTTCTCCGTTAATTAAATGAATTTCGTGCAAATTTTCTACGGGGCAAAATTTAGTACTCGTCATTTTCGCATCTTTAGTTGTACGCACGTCCAAGCTCGAACCAGCTACTACAGAGTACATAGCTACTATTATTAAGAGCTGTTGTCCAATAGCAACTACTGGATACTTTTGCGCTTACGTACGGTGTGTACGAAATACACTATAATGAGCAGCAGATAGTTATTCCGAGCTGGGATCTGATTATAAACTTAAATGTTAAATAATATTTTCTTCTTAATAATCTGGTATCGTTTTCTTTTTAATGAAATAAAAAAATATTGAAAGTATAAACTCAAGTTAAATGAACAATTTACTAGATAGAACGATTAGAATATTTGGTAAATAATATTTGAGTTTGACATTAAATGTATCTTATGCATGGAAAATTGAAAAATTGATAAAATAAACCTTAAAAAATAACAAAATCATAACGTTGAATTTTCGATCCTCGATTAGCATCACTTTGTTGATCTTCTGTGTTTGCATTATTGGTTTCTTCTAATAAGCAATTTGATTCTAAATTTCTTTTTTGATTGGCAATTTTTTATAAGATAATAATGAAAACATACAGGCTTATTAAATAATAAATAAACTACAAACAGATTTCCATGTAAGAAAAACATCGACATCACTCATTTTCACGGTGTCAACCGAATTTCGCATTTATTTTGTGATAAAATTTTGTCTTTTCCTAGGAGGAGACATAAATTAAAAATTAGGATTTACCAGAAAATACTTAAAGTTATTAAAACTTAATAGAGACATTAGTGCTCTAGAAACCATACAACATCGGTCAAAAACATCTCATAATAAAATTTAGCGTTTATTGAACTAATGTAAATAATGCGAAAAATGTGAGATATATCATGTATTTGTGTCTGTTTGTTTCAAGCACGAACAATAGATGGCGCCATCCTGAGAGCAATTGACAGTACTTTCGAAATAAAAAGTGAGCCTATTCGTAGCATTAGCAAATGACAAATGTGTCGCCATATTGACAAAAGCCAATAGAAGAAAAAGTAGAGCTGGTGTGAAAACGCACGCTCATTATATTGTTATAAATCAATTAATTTTCACAAAAATATTTGCGCAATATTATAAAAGATAAATCATCACAAACTAGCCATTCAAGTGGTTGTATTATATACATAAGTTTATAATAGATTGTAAATAAATATGGGACGTAAAAAGAAGAAGGCATCCAAGCCATGGTGCTGGTACGTATGCTATATAAATATTGATTTCTCACACATTGTTTATTAAATTGACGACAATAATGATTTAAAATGCATTAAAAATGGATCAATATTGATGCAAAATGCAAACCACGTAATTTATTTGTTTTTCGTAACAGGTATTGCAATCGGGAATTTGACGATGAAAAAATTTTGGTGCAACATCAAAAAGCGAAACACTTTAAATGCCACATTTGTCATAAGAAGTTGTACACAGGCCCAGGTTAGTACGCGTTATTCAATGTGAACAAAATAACAGTTTCTTTTCCATTTACTAAATTGCGACTTTTCTCTTTGCGATCTCTTTTCTTTTCACATAAAATAAAGGTCTTTCAATTCATTGCATGCAAGTGCATAAAGAAACAATTGACAAAGTTCCCAACTCAATTCCGAATCGACAAAATATTGAAATCGAAATTTTCGGAATGGATGGCATTCCTGCAGAAGATTTGAAAGAGCATGAACGTCAAAAAACTGGTAACACAAAATCAGAATCAGACGATGATGAACCGTCAAATAAACGCACAAAAACTGACGGTAAATTTAATTAACCTAAAATTGATATGATATGAAAAAAATGCCAACTCATTTTGTATATTTGTAGCCAATAATTTAATGCAACAACCGAATATGATGATGGCCAATATGATGCCGCCACATATGATGGCACAATTTGGCATGGGAATGCCAATGATGCCTCAGCAATTTGCAATGGGAATGCAAATGATGCCACATCAAATGATGCAACCAAGGCCATTATTCCCGGCCGCAACATCATCGGTAGGCCAACATCCAATGGCACCGAAACCAACATTTCCTGCATACAGGTAAATCCAAATTAATATATTTCTTTGAATTATATATTTTATAAACCAAATTTTTTTTATTTACAATGAATTGTAGTAGTGCAACGATAAGTGCCCCGCCAACAACAAACAATACGGCAGGTGCATCGAACGCATCCACTCAGGAACCAAGCAAACCACCAACGGCTGCTGTAGCCCCAACAAGTGGAATTACCTCAAAAATTATGCATCCACCAGAAGACTTGAGTTTAGAAGAATTTCGTGCCCGCAAACCGAAATATCTAAAACAAATCACTATGGCCCGTGCGAATGCAATTAGTTTTGCCTCATCAAATTCACAACATTATCAACAACGGCGACAACAACAACAACAACAACAGCAACAGCAACAGCACCATCATCATCAACAACAACAGCAGCACCATCATCATCAGCAGCAGCAGCAGCACCACCAACAACAACAACAACAACAACAACAACAGCAAAATATGGCTGCATTAGCTCAGGAGGTAATTTTAACATATGCTTGTTTTCCTTTTCTCTCTCTTCACATTTATCAAAATTTAGATTTCAAATCTGTTTTTTTTTGGTTTTGGTTGAACAAATGACTTTTGGATATATTTCGTCTTTGTATTGAAATGTAGACTAAACTTTGTGTTTTGTATGATTTGATTTTATTTTGATGAGATTCGGCATTTATTTTTGTTTAGCAAAATACACTTAAAACAAACTCGTAACACAATTTTTAGATATTATATACTATATAATTGAAATAATGGTGAACTTTTTTTGGTATTTGAATGTGCAATGTGCATGTCTTATATGAACTATGTTTTTTCTGAACCATAAGTAATGTCTTCACATGCTTTTTGTGTCTAAACAATAAGTCCACAAAACGAATGTGCTCGCTTTTAAAACGGTGATGGGCAAAATTGTTGAATAACTTTTTTCTTTTCAGAATCAAGTGAATACGACTTATTTTTCACAATAACGTAATTAATAGACAAAAAACTGATTTATGAACAAATATACGATTAAATAAGAAATTAAACGTTGTTCAGACAAATTATTGGGGTTTGTTACAAAATCAAGACAAATTAGTCGACTTTTTTCCTTAAACCAATAGAATCGGTTTCTCGTTTTTCAATCGTCGTGCTCACCACACTATAAGATTGTTTGACATTAGTTATGATTGATGACATTTTACAAAAACAACAGAATTTCTACTAAATTTTTTCTCAAAAACGAAAACAATAATTAATAAAATTGCACACACAAAAAAATCGAAAGACACTCTATTTCTCACCTTGACTGAAATTAGGTCTGTTTACCACACACTATTTTCTCTGTTCATTGAGACAATTATCTTGACGTTTACAGCTACAGCAGCAATCCCAAAAACAACAGGACCAAATTCTACGCATTAAAGAACAACAGGAACAACAACTCACAGACGAAATCAATCGAGCTGTTATGCTTCAACGAATGCAACAAGTAGCTCGACCGGCTGCTTCAATGGGAATGGTCAGTAATAAGTAAAAAACAAAAACAAAACAAAACATACCAACATACTGTGTATAAATGAGCCCTTTATTGCAGAAATGAATTGCTACAGTCGACGCTAAGACATTTTTTTAACCATTTTAAAGTCCCCTTCATTTTTCAATTCCTTTTATCCTTTTCTCTTCATCTCATTTGCTTTTACAATTCTGCTTCGTAAGTTTGTTGTACTATACATCCATTTATCATTGATTTAAATTCATATTTTGTTCGTTTGTAGTAGAGGAATTGTGTGTAAACAAATGACGTTGAGCGTTAAATATTTTATTATTCGTATTTTCCTACAACTTATTAATTTTAATCATTTATTGTTGAACTATAAGATACATATATTTGGATAGATGGCGTCTAGGCGTAGATATTTCGTAGGCGTAGATTTTATATAGTTGTATTCTGTTCATTCAATACATTTGCGCAGATTTATTTTTATTTATAATTTGTTTTTCACATCAAGAAATGTGAATTTACAAAACAAGATAATTCCAATTTCAATTGGCTGGTAGTCCTTGTAGCCACTAATAAGTATTTGTGAGTCTATTTTTATTAATTTTTTTTTAATTATCTTTACGGATATTTCAAAACATCATACTGTGAAAGTGAATTAGATTAGACCAACGTGTAAGCTAACAATTAAATATGAAAAAAATCTGTGTTCCATAGGTACAAACTGTTACTAGTACATCAATGCCATTAATGCAGCCAATGATGCGACCAGCAATGGCTTTAGCGCCAACACCTCCCCAATTTGCTGCTCATATGATGAGGCCGGGTGGTCCAATGGGAATTGCACCAGGTATGACACATTATTTCAACTAGATATGATAAATTAAGTTTTTTACGCAAAACATATTTTGGGAATTTTACAAAAACTTCGGTGACTTTTTTTCTGGTGAGAGACAAAATCCCGGCAAATTTCTTTTTACAAATGGGATGACCTGATGAAGATGAAAGTATTTAAATGCTTTTCTTAAAATCATTTTTCTTCGCAATTAAAACCAAAACATTAAGTAGGAATTGACTAATTAAAAGTTAGGACAAAAAGAATAATATTTGATAACCCTCCCAAAGTGTTGAATTTTAACATTTATT